GTTCTCCCCCCAAAAAAAAAAAAAAAAAAACCAAAAAAAAAAAAAAAAAGAAGAGGCCGGGGAAAGAAACCTGGCCCTAGGGAGACATGTCCTGGAAGACATGGAGCCAGAAGAGCCCCGCCTGGGCCAGGAGGGAGCGAGGGAGCCACAGTGAGGTCATTAGAGCCCACAGAGGGGCAGGACAGTGCAGCTGAAGTTGCTGTCGGCCTCGGGGAACCCTGGGTCTGTCCATGGCGGTGCCAGCCAAGCCCACGGCAGTGCTATATGGTGCCCATTCTCCACGTGAGCAAGCCAAGGGTCAGAGAGTGAGCAGAGGCAGCGTTCAGACTATGCCTGCCCGCCTCTGGGCTCCCACTCTTCACCCCATGCCATACCTCAGGGCCATCAGACCTCTGAGTATTATGAAAGGCAGCCCAGGGATGGCTTTGGGAGTGCTGAGAAGGGGTGGTGATCACAGTGACCCAGGCTCAAGGTCACCTCTAGAGCCCCCGTGGTGGTGAGGGACCTGAGCTAGGGGGATCAGTGACTGGTCCCAGGGCAACCAGGCCAAGACCCAGCCGTTGCCCACAGCCAGTCCCCCCTGGGGTTCTCACCTATGAGATCTCATCATCGTTCTATGTTTAGAAGCCCCTGGGCTGGCCACCCTCATCTCACCTGGACAACTACAGGATCTTCTCCACTGTCTCCCTGCTCCCACCCTCACAGGGGCCAGTTTTCTGCACCCAGAGCTATCATCCCTGCAGAATTTACATAGAGACCTAACACTGGCCAGCTCCGAAACCTCAGGGCTCCCCAGGTGTAATCCCAAGTCCCTGCTGTGGCTCCGAGTTCCCACCCGTCTTCTCTGTTCCTTCCCAGACCTCACCTCCCACCACACTCAGCCCTCACCCCCTCACCCCCTCTGGCCTGTCACTCCCACCCCATGGCTTCAACACTTGCTACTCCCCCTTCCTAAGGTGCTCTTCAACCGTGTGGATTCCTCCTCCTCTCCTTCCCTCCTCCAGGATTCTGCTCAGGTGTCGCCCCGTCAGAAAAGCCACCCTCATCCCTGTCAATCCCTATCCCTTTACTTGGCTTTATCTTCCTTGAAAACATCTTTCTCCCTCATGTGCGGGCTCTCTGCCCACTTGTTATCCTTGGTCTCCCCTCGTAGATGCCAGTTTGGCATTTGCTGCTGTGTCCCCATACACAGCAGCGCAGGGGAGGGCCCGGGACATGCCAGTGGGATGAGGGGACAGAGAGAATAACCCACGTCGCTCTCCCGCCGCACACTGGCCCCGCAAGTAGGGGCAGCTGCGTCCTTTTGCCTTCTAGTATTTATGACCTCCCAAGACACCCTGACCCCGACACTGTCGTTCCAGGCAGGTGGACACCCACACGAAAAACGTCTTTGGGCAACCACGGTTGAGGGCGTCCCTTCGTGACCTCCGGTCCCCACGGAAGAACTACAAATCCACCATTGAGGACGACCTGAAGAAACTCATCATCATGGACAACCTGGGGCCAGAGCAGGACAGAGATGCAGGAGTACGTAGCGGCCGTCAGCCGGTCGGGGTCTCTGGGAGGGCCAGGCAGGCAGCACTCCCTGCAGTCGCCCCAGCCTCCTTCTCCCCTGTCCTCAGCCTCCAGCATCTGCCATCCCTGCTAGGGCGTGCGTGGATTCATGGTCAGGGACCACATCCCATTTAAACCACCTAGACAGGGCTTTCATTCAGTACTGGGGCAGCTCATGCGATTGCAGGAGCCTGGGTCTGCGTCCTGCTCTTGGAACCCAAGATGGGTCGGCCCCACTGCCATACCTTGTGGACCCTGAGCGGAGCAGGCACCCAGGTCTGCAGATCTTGTAGCCTAAGGGTGGGGGGAACAAAACCAGCAGGCACCGTGCTCTCTCCATTGTGTCTGCCCCCCTCACCTCTCCTTGCCTCCCTGATTGGCCTCACCGTCTGTGGGACCAGGCTGGACCCATATCCCCTGGGGTTGTGTCCACAGCCCCACAGCCCACAGCTTCCCAGCAAGAGCACATGGTTCCATGGGACCCAGCAGCATCACAGGGCTGTCTGCGGCCTCCGTGGTTCACCTGCCTTCCCCTAGTCAAGCCTCAATCTCCAGCCTTTTGCTGGAGCTGGAAGGTGGGCTCAGCCCTGCAAAACCTGTGGACCCCAAGTCAGGGAGGGGGAGTCAGCCAGGAAAATCAGGCCACTTGGACCAGAACAAGGGCAGAAATGAATGCTGGGTGGGCAGGAACTTGCCACAGGCATCCCAGACAGAAGCCACCAGGGACCGTGACTGCAGGCCAGGCTGTGACCACGCCCTGCGTCCCATCCCTGTCTTGGCAGCAGTCACCACAGAAGGGCCTGCAGCGAACGCTGTCCGACGAGAGCCTGTGCAGCGGGCGCCGGGCGCCCAGCTTCGCCAGCCCCGCCAGCCTGGAGCCAGGCCTGCCCAGCGACGTGCTCTTCACCAGCACCTGCACCTTCCCCTCCAGCACGCTGCCCGCCCGCCGCCAGCACCAGCACCCCCACCCGCCCGGCGCGC